CGAGGTGTACGACCCCTGGATCCCCGCATTCTATTGCACTCTATGGACAATGGATCCCAGAAGAGGCGATACCTCCAGAAATATAGCTCTCGCTGAACTCGAACAACTATACCCATTTTTTGTTTTTTTTTTTGCCACCGTCTGCGCTTTCTTCCCTTTGTTCATTTCCCCTCTAGACCCTTGTCCCTTGCAGGTATCAAAGATCGAATGCGGCACTATCTGTTCCTTTTGGCTCGACCAGACGATCTTCTAGTGGCTGTTGATCCTGCTGTAGGCGTTTCGTTCCGATCCTTCCCTCCTCATCCTCCCTCCCTAACCGCTTTCCTCCTCGCTGTTTACGCTTTATCAGCTCTTATTTAGCGCTACGACCATTGTTGGCTACTTTTTGCGTCTTCTTCTTGTCTTTGCCGAGTTCGTTTCCCGAGTACACGCTGCTCCATGTATCCTTGGTCGCCTTTGCCAAATTCTTGTAATTCATCTCCACTTTTTTGACGCCAATTCTCTTTGGATTGGGGTATATGAGCCTGGCTGTGACCCCAGATTTGACTGTCCCGCATCACTCCTGGCCAGACAAGATCTCCGAAAAGCCAGACGAGGCCGATCCCATCAAAGATCATCCAGATAGCCTATCTTTCATCTCCCAAAATCCCCAACGTATCACGGTCCAAGTGTTGGAGGGTTCCTCGGTTGCTGTAAACATGTTCAACAAATTCAAGCTCCGACAGGCTGCCCTTTGACCTCGGCCCCAGCCCTTTCGATTTCTGGATATTGGCGATATCCTTTCGCTTCGTTTCTTTTTGGTTATCTTTATCTGTTCTCAACAATTTCATCGCTGTATTTTGGACGCATTCCTTTCCCATTCCACACCTGGTCATCACAACACACAAAACTCAACTCCATCCAATAGACAAATTCAAGGTGGACGAGAACGAGACGATCGATACGAAACAGTCACATAGCGCATCTCGAGTAATATATAGACGTTTTCAACCCGATACGAACGTGTAACGAAGGTGTCAACATGGCTACCAAGCGTGTTTCGACCCGTGAGGAGTTGCAAAACATGAGTCGGGCGGATCTTCAAAAATTGGCAAAGGTGGGTGGATAATTATTGTACATCACCTGTTATATTCGTCGTCCTGTTGAATCCGTCTACGGGGATCAACGAGCGGATCGCGAATGTGGCGCCATGCCTTTCCAGGTAATAGATCGCTGATGCATCTCATTCATCATAGGATCACAACATTAAAGCCAATATGAAGACAAACGAGCTCATTGATCGACTAGTCAGAGCAAAGTAAGACCCGTTTGTTCATCATAGTTGTGACCGCACTCATAATCCACTCTCCTTTTAAAAATTCCGTCAGGCTCGCATACGTTCCGCCACGTTTACCTCCCAGCTCTGTACGCAACGAGAGAACAGGCGCTCAACGCAACCCCGACGAACAAGAAAACCTTCCTACCCCAAAGCTCACTCCCACTGCAAGCTCGGCGGACCGCGAGTCGGTCGCTAGGCTGAAGGGAAAGGACCACATAAAGTCTTCAGCCGGAAAGTCACGAATTCCTGTTCCAGGAGGTGGTAGAAAAGTCAGTGGTGTGCGAGCACTCCTCCCTCCCGCGGTGGTGGCTGCACACCCGCTCCCACCGCCGTCGGAGAGTCCTTCAAAGACGAGAGGAAAGGTCAAGAAGGCAGAAAAGATCATGGAAAAGGAAACAACGAGTCCTATTAGGCCGTATGCCGATGAAGACCATGACATGGAGGGTAATCCAGGTGAGTTGCCTCGTAACGTGAAAATATATTGCTAAAGTGGTCCAGCTCCTATGATAGGAAATGCTACCCCGACCGATTCTCTTCCATCCGCTGGATCGACAAGCCAAAACCCCGGTCCTACTCTCCCTGCGTCCTCCTTGACGAGTCTGCTCGAACGGAGGATTGTCAAGTTGGAAAAATCGAGCGCGGATAACCAATCAACGAGACAACAAGACATGAGCTACCTCCTTGCTCAACTCAAGGAGGCCCAGGATGATATCGTCGACCTCAAACAACAGAATGAAGATCTCAAGAAACGGTTGGACTCGGTCGGCATTCATTTCTCTTTCTTATGACCTAGCTGACATTTATATTAGGAGGTTGCGACGAAAAAGGAAATGAGCGATATTATTAACCGCTTGGCTGAGCTGGACGATCAACTCGCCCGAATGAATATCCGACCTGATCCATCAGTTACCTCTTCCGAGGCCGAACTGCCCTATGAGGCTCCAATGCCGCCCCGCAAGCTAGAGTATCAAACGCCACCCAGTCAAATCGGGTTGCTCGTCGGTCGTATGTCAAACCCAAGTCTGGCCCCTGCCGCAAGAATTCACCCAAGTGCAAGTCGACGTGACAGGAAGGAGCGCGCGCGTCATACACCACCTCCTCAACCTCGTCGATATCCTCTGAATCCTGACGAGTCACCCAGTCCTCAACGTCGCTCTAGTGCCGCATCTACTTCTCTTCTTCCGATTAGTGGATCGGTAAAGAGGGGAAGCAGTGCAATGGGTACTCCCCCCACGTCTAGTCCACGACTAGCTAATTCCAGGAACGCGTCTCCCATTGCTGAGCGCAGCCAGAAACGACAACTACTGAGAGACAAACGGTACTCTATGATGGAAGAGGAAATGGATGGCTATCAAAGTGATACGCCACCACGAGAGTTGAATCCTGTCCAAACCCTTGCTCCGATTGAGTCGCAGGGTGATTCAGAAGTGACACTGTCCCCCCGACCACCTTTGCCATTCCCCATCGTTGCTTCTCCTTCTGCTGCTCCGGTGGAAATAGAGATGGATTCTCAAAGCAGGAAGCCTTCGAGCTCTCGCAGGCGTTCACCTGCCAAGTTCACTCGGGGTCGTCGAGCTCATCCCTACGATGTGCAAAAGACGCGTGAGTCGGCAAGTCCAGAAGCCGGGCCCAGTTCGTTACCAGACGGCGAACGGAGTGTGCCGAATATGAAGATACCTTGGTTTGGTGAAACACCTGATCCTAGTCGAGCCCCAGGTCCATCCAGCTTTCCTGGTGGTTTTATACCCAAATTATCCCTTGCTCGATCATCCCTATCCGGTAGCGCTGCTATGCTTATGCACGATCCTATTGAAACACCAGAATATGAAGAACCTCGCCAAGTAGAGGAAACGCCGCCTGCTTCACGAACCCGCTATGGAACTGAATTCAGGAGCACTCTGAAAGCAAAGTTCTCAGATAGTGCGCCTGCTTGGCGATAACCTTTTATGCCTAACCTCCCCATCTTATAGCGCCGTAAGTCATTGATTTCTGCCTCCCTGTACAAACGTGAGGGCCACTGTTTGTCAAGTGGTTACTCGCATATACATACACCATTTACTGCTTTGCCCCTTCCTCCCCCCTCTCTGCCTCTGCCTCTCGAACCTGACTTTGTATATTACTCTTCATGGCATCTTTTTCTTATTCTGGCATCTTACCGCCTCACATCTGCTCCATTGTTCCCATAATAGTCTGTCGCATACGCAAGATCTGAGCCTAGGCCCTATGTCGTGTCATTTTGTTATGCTCTCGCAATGAAAATAAATCATGATTATCTGAGCTCATACCTTTATGTGTGCCTTGACTGCAAGGAAGGTTTCTGCGATTCTGAGTTGAGCCTCAATTCATTGAGCCTTTAGCGCGTTCAGATCTTGCTCCCTCCTTGAATACGAACGCCGTTCATCTATCTTCCATTTAATATCGTATCGTATAGACCAAGATGCCGAAGAAATATCTTATACACTATTCAATGTCTCATGGAGATTTTCGGTACCCCGAGCTACAATCTGTGGCAGAGCTATTCGACTTTCAAATCACTCTTCCCGAGGCTGAAGAAGACCGCGATACATCCCGCCCATTTCTGATTGTGGAACTCGAGAAGGAAGATCATGCGAGGCATCTTGCCAAGAGGTGTATTCTTGTAAAGTACGCTCTTAACTACCACCTCGTCGGCTACGCACTTGACTCATCTCCCCCTAGAGCCATCTACGAGTTATGGGCAGAAGCCGATACTCTAGAGGAACTGCATGATGAGAATAGACAGAACCAGCACCTCTGGGAGCATTTAGGGGATCAACAGTCATGGAAGTTCGATGTTACCGCCACCAATCATACAATTCCAATGGAAAGACAACATAAAGTTATAGAAGAGTTTGCATATATGGATTATCAAGGACCCATCGATATGAAGAAGGCATCTTTGGTCCTCACCTACTTTGAAGAATGTGAGGGATCCTCGACACCGATGAGGTGCTTCTAACGAGTTTCATCCCAGACCCAAGGAAAAATATGTTGCGACAAAGATCAGAAGGGGATGGAAAGTTTGAACATGTCTACTTTGGGAGACTGGTAAATTGGACCTTGGATGGAACGATCATAGGTGCTGATAGTTGACACAGATTGAGGAAGGTGCATGCCGAAATTTGGTTTACAAGTTTGATATCAAGAAAAGGTACGAAACTTGTGTCCGCAGAAACGAGTATAAACGACTGAATCAACGCAGGGCCTACTACGGGAACACCACCATGGATGCCGAGATCTCTCTCCTAATGGCAAATCAAGCTTTGGTAGATCTGTCACTGAAAGTGCTTCAGCATATTGACAACTATCTAGGCAGCTCCCGGAAAGCTTGTTTACGACCCCTTTGTCGGCACAGGTAGTATGCTATATGTAAGGACCTATCATTCGAAGAAACTGTTCTCACCAAGATAAAGACAGCTGCATATTTCGGAGCATTGGTTTTAGGAAGCGATATTGATGGTCGGCAAATGCGTGGTAAAGGTACGCATACATCTTAGCCTATGACACCTAGCTAATTTCCGTAGTCCGGGGCGGAGTTCCGGGTGTCTTTCAGTCAGCATCTCAATATGATGTTCTGCCACGGATATTAGATTGCTGCACCTTTGATATCACTCGGAGTCCTTTCAGAACTGGTGGCTTCCTTGACGCAATTATCAGCGATCCTCCTTGTAAGTCGTATGACGAAAAAAGACTGTTCTATTCATCCCTCGAGAAGATGGAGTACGTGCTGGCGCGAAGCGACTTGGACGGACAAAGGTGCGGCCTGTGGAACCTAGCCCTTCTGAAGGTTGGGAACCAACGCGGTAAGAGCTCTGACCATGGATATTATGACCTTCTTTGACACCTATGTGATAGGTCGTATCCCAAGAAACCCTATGAACTTTCTGATCTGACGACGGATCTTGTGCTTCTGGCAAGACATTTGTTAAGACCTGGGGGTCGCCTTGTTTGGTTTCTTCCCACAGTGACGGAAGAGTATCAGGATGTTGACATTCCAGTTTGTGAAGGGATGGAGATAATTGGAAATTCTGAGCAAAACTTTGGGAAATGGGGAAGAAGAGTGAGTGCATTCTCTGGCAACAGACATCTTGTAACCTCAATGCATTTCAATAGCTCATTACCATGCGCAAATCATCCACTGAGGAATATCCCCCGCCTTCATTTGATCCAGAAAAGAGACTAGAAGAGCTGGGAGATCCCAATTATCCCACCTCAGCAGGACACAAACATTTCCGTGAAAAATACTTTGCGCGGTTCCCAAGTTTGAAAAATAAAATAAAGGGAGATTCGAATTATATCCATGCGTCTAATCAACGAGCTATTCGTAAGGACGAAACGTGCTAGGGCTGACTCTAATTTGAATCGCCACCCCTCTCCAACTGCATCACCGCTGGGAAGACTTGATAGAGGAATCTCAGTTGCTCCCTACTCTGAACCATCAACGGTCTCTGATCCCTCAAATAGTCTACTTCTAACGCAATTAGGTCGTTCTGAATTTCTTGTGGTAAGGGGCCAAAGGGAGACTCTGGTAATGGATCACCAGACCAGTCTGCCTCAGAAGCATCGGTTTTCTCTTGAACTGGTAGGTTGATTGGGCGATTCAGATTATGATAGCGTAAAAGCGATGCTAGTGCAATGAAGGTCCCAGTTCTTCCCACCCCTGCACTACAACCTACCACAATAGGAGGGTCAGGATTTTTTGAGGCATCAATATGCGATGTATCTTGATTGCAGGCTTCGACGAATTGCATGAACTGAAGTAGAGACCGTGCGTTCTCCGGGACACCGTGATCTGCCCAATCCTTGAAACATCACAGTGATCAGCCAAGACTACTCCAAGTCTTAGAAACACTTACAAGATAATGGATATGTCTAACGAGATGCTTTGGGCTCTGATCATCCTCGTATGAGAGTTCTAGAACCGAATGGATCCAGGACGAGTCTCCTCCCCCGTCTTCAGGCCGACTCATCTGTAGCAACTTGACCTTGATGGGTGGAACGAGTATTTGATTTGGAGGAGTCCATATCATCTCCTCACCTACTCTTTTGGGAAAGTATTGAAAGGCCTTTGCAGTATTACCTTCGATGTTTGGCGTTAATTGTACAATAGTTCGTAATCTATTTGCAGCAGGTGGTGATTTGATACTGTGAGACGGAGTTACTGGCTCTAGGAACATGGACAGGAAAGTGTGTGCAGTTCTCTCGAGAGGTGCTTGTGTAGCGACCATCCATTTGCCACCCGCTCTTTCCTTTACCCAACTCGCATTTAGATAAGCACCACTAGGAAGAAGAAGACGACTCTTGTCATAGGGGTAAATATCGATATACCTATTCGCCCGGGCATTATCGGGATCTAGCCCAACAGAGGAGCAGTATGTCGTAAATTGAGGTGTCGAGGTCATACCGGGAGCGTGGTGTTTTCTTCGCTGTATCTCTCGACGATAAAGCTCTGTCTCGACTTTCTGGATGTAGCCTCCGGTCAGTGGTCGAGGTAGCCATGAAGGGTACTTTGCTGCCATTTCAGGCGCCTCTGATTGTGACATTTATCGTAGAGCAGCCTCTTTGAGTTTGTAGAATGATATTGTAGCTAAGAACGAAAGGGCATTAGTAACTCTGATTTGGTTCTCGATTCGATCCATACCACTGAGCAATTGAAGATGTGGTAAGCGCGCAAGTGTGAAGCCAAAGTCTGCCACCACTAGACATTCCCACTTATGTCTTCAGAACGCAAACTCACGATAACTTATACGCTGAACCCTCCGGAGGGAACTATTACACCACTGTCCAAAAAAACTGGTCAATCGATCCCACCTTCCGATACGATCGCCTTCTCCGTGAGCAAGGAAGGCCAGGTAGATTATAAACAAGTTGTCGCCGCCATTCAACAGGCGAAAGAAATAACTGGGATTAATATATTAACTCCTTGGAGGGATGCAGTAGGCGACAAAGAAGCCGGCAAGGATCAGAAAAAGACCACCACTGCCGATAGTCCAGATGAAGAGGATGAGGACGAGGAATCAAATGCAGAGGCGGCATAAATATTATAAGATTTCTATGGTAAGTTAGACTACCAGAAACATGTCTACTTGACGATAAGAGCAATCTTATTCCTACCCCTGGGACGCTCTCGAATGACAAATTTATTGCCAGTTTTGTGGCCTCGAGGTCCAGGTTTCCGTGTTCTCTTTCCTTTGGTATTCCATCCCCAAGGCGAGGAGGGATGTCTGTTGCCCTTGGATTTACCACGACCACCTCCATGAGGATGGTCTCGTCTGTAGTATTTGCGTATCATTAGTCGTGAATACTATAGAATGGCAGAATATAATAACTTACGCGTTCATGGCCATTCCTCGAACGTGCGGGCGTCGACCCATCCATCTGCTTCGACCTGCTTTTCCTAACATTCTACCCTTCCAATTAGCGTTGCTAACTTTTCCTATAGTTGCGCAGCAATCCGCTCTTATCCTACGGATCTCTCCCGACTGCAACCGTACTTGGCAATATTCACCCTTCTCTTCCTGCATCATCATGGTAGCAAAAGTTCCAGCGGACCGTACTAATCGGCCTGGCCCCTTTGGGTCGAGAGCTAGGTTGTGTATGATCGTTCCCGGAGGGATAAGTCGCAGGGGTAGTACGTTGCCGGTTTTGATGGTCACACTACGTAGAATACCCAGGGAAAGGGCAGTTTCAGAAGTTTCTTCGTTTCCTTCATTACCATCTTGACTTGATTTATTGATGCTCTTGGGATCATCCACATATCCTTCCACCAGTCCGTCAGGGATTCCCCCTCTGTAGCTTGTAACAACGTCTCCTGCTCTGAGCCCTTCGCAAGCCAATATATATGACCATGGTTGCTCTACCGTTTTGTCTCTGCATTTGATGAGAGCAATGTGCGCAGAACGGTTAGGATCGTATTCTATTCGGACGACGTCGTGAGGACCTGGACGGCTTCGATGAAAGTCTACAGTCCTGAGTCTCCTTTTGTGACCCCCTCCTCTTGAACGTACGACGACTTGCCCTGTGTTATTCCTGCCGCCTTTTTTTCGTAAGGGTACAGTGAGCTCGCGAACTGGTTTGCCCTTCCACAAATGAGGATTGATCAACATCCTGACGTGTCTCATTCCAGGAGTGATTGGTTTGAATTTCTTGAAGCCATCAACTATTCGAACCAGCGGTTTGACAGTCTTTCGCTTGGGTTTGATGGAAGTTGTTGGAGGGGGTACTATTGGACCCCTTGGAATTCTGGTAGCAGTAGCATAGGTCCTAAGGATACTATGTTCGACAATTGCAGGTCTTGCTATGTAGCTACGCAGAAGGGCCTGCCGAAGCATTTTGCGTCGAGTCCAACTTTCGACTCGACCACAAAAAATGGTACGCTATGGCACCGCGTCACCTCGCCACATTGTAAATACAACTTTACTGATTCATGACTCAAGGCTATGGAGATCACTACGGGAACCTCGGCTGTGAGAGACATACGGATAGAGCGTATCGGTGGGTATATAGGCAACGACGAACAACAAAGGCTGATCTTCTGTCATATAAGGCGCGCATTCGCACATTCGAGGACTCGGATTAGATGATCGCCTGGAGCCGCGTGATAGTTCACAGGGAATGGTTGGACAAGGCAAAGCCAGAAAGGCTGCCGGTCTCATCGTAAAGATGGTTCAAGATGGACGAATATCAGGCAAAGCCATTCTCATGGCAGGTCCTCCGAGTTCTGGAAAGACTGCCATTGCCATGGGTACGTTTATATCATTTTTGCCCGCGTTCATTAGAAGCTGAGAGGTTGCGCGCCTTCACGCGTTTTTCATGATAGGAATGGCGCAAAGTCTGGGAAATGATGTCCCTTTCACAATGATCGCTGCTAGCGAAGTGTTCTCGTTATCCATGTCAAAAACAGAGGCTTTAACTCAGGCGTTCCGCCGAAGTATTGGCATACGAATCAAGGAGGAGACAGAGATCATTGAAGGAGAGATTGTAGAAATTCAAATAGATCGGAGCATAACAGGAGTAGGTCAAGAGCTATAATGAGAGACTTGATCTGACCAATGCTCTCCATAGGCTACGAAAACTGGCAAGCTCACGATTAAAACCACAGACATGGCAACTGTATATGACCTTGGATCCAAAATGATCGACTCCCTAGCCAAAGAGAAGATTTTGGCGGGTGATGTCGTGTCTATCGACAAGTCTTCAGGAAGGATCACCAAGTTGGGAAGATCCTTCTCAAGAGCACGCGACTATGACGCTACAGGTGCCGACGTAAGTTATACTACCAAGAGAGAAAACAACCGTGCTTATGTCTTTAGACCAAATTCGTTCCGACTCCGGAAAAGGAGGTTCAGAAGAGAAAAGAAGTTGTCCATACCGTCTCGCTACACGAAATAGATGTCATCAACAGCCGAACACAAGGTTTCTTGGCTCTGTTTGCAGGAGATACAGGAGAAATCAAGCCCGAGCTAAGGGAGCAGATCAATAACAAAATTGGCGAATGGAAGGAAGAAGGCAAGGCGGAAATCGTACCGGGAGTGAGTAGAGCAGCTTCTTTTATTTTAGCATGCTCACATGATTACAGGTGCTCTTTATTGATGAAGTTCACATGCTCGATATCGAATGTTTCTCCTTCCTCAACCGTGCTCTCGAAGACGAGCTTGCCCCACTAGTCATTATGGCGTCCAATCGGGGGATGGCTACCATCCGTGGAACCACATTCCGTTCCCCCCACGGTCTACCTGTAGATTTACTGGATCGTGTCCTCATCATCTCGACACAACCGTACACAGCAGCTGACATGGAGCAAATCATCAAGATACGATGCCAGGAAGAAGATGTAGAGCTATCAGCGGACGCTTTAACAGCATTAGCTACGCTGGCTACTCAAACCACCCTACGATATGCCCTCAACCTAATCAGTACCGCCCAAGTCATCGCCCGAAAGAGGAAGAGCGCCATCGTAGATACAGAGGACGTGAGAAAGTGCTACGCGTACTTCCTCGATGAAAAGAGAAGCACACAGTGGCTAAAAGAACAACAAGGTTCTCTTGTATTTGACTCCACGTATGATCCTGATGTTACAATGGCAACGGCCTAGTATAACTGGAAAAATGTAAACCGCTCACAAATGTAGCCGCTCAATAAAATGTCTTAAATGTAGTCTGTATCGGAGTGGTCGGTGAGCTATGTCTTTCATTTGACTAAGGCTGTTTTAGATGAGGGATTCGTAAGGAACAAGTGAACGGCATAGTTCATAAGGGTGTCTACAACCCAAAAACAAAAGAAGGTAGGGCAATTTCAACGAATTATTGGGCTAGCATTAGTTCAAGCTTGTGATCCTTGCCACAGACCGTAAGTCTTTCCTGGAACAGTTTGCCACAAACGAATGGTGCCATCCTCTGCACAATTTCGATGAGATTAATTCTCGCAATAATAGATGAGATACGTACCACTTCCAGACGCGTACATCTCGCCGTCTGGGCTGTACTGAACGGTATGAACGGGACCGTGATGACCTTTGTAGAGCTCCATCTCGTTTCCGTCGACAAGACCATAGACCCGAACCCAAGGGTCACTAGTAGAGCCAGCAACGAAACGGTCTCCTGAAGTGGGGTGGAGAGAAGCTGAAGATGGGGCATGGGGGAGAGTGAGGTTGTGGGAGGGAGAAGAAGACGGCATCACAGGGTAGAACGCAACGTCGTTTCCGTGGGTCAAAACGAGGGTTCCCGTCGGTGCTGAGAGTTCTAAAGAGGTGATTGCGCTGGGAAACTTGACGGTGTAGGCTGGCTCAGTCGTACGAAGATCCCACCAGCTTGGCAAACGCAATTGGTTAGTGAATGCGTTCGTTCAAATAGAATGGGGGACGACTCACTTGAGAACACCATCTTCACCGGCGCTGACGATTTGTCGCCCATCATGGAGCCATACGACGCTCTTGACCGTCTTCTCGTGTGCGGTTTCACCACCCTTGGCTACGAGGTGTCTGGGGTCGGCATCTGGGCGGGCGAGATCAAAGATGCGGATCTTCTTCGTTTGGTCACCCGTGACGATCTGAGTGGATGAAGGGGAAAGGTCGACGGAGCGGACGATATGATCGTGAGGGAACGAATGGAGGATTTCACCGCTGTACGTGTCCCATACTTTTCTAGGGGGACGGTTAGCACGTTCTCTCCTCTTACGGCAAACCGCACAGCTCCGGACCCATCAGACAAAAGATGCAGTGCTTCTTGATAAAAAGGGAAGGTGTTGGAGTGGAGGATAAACACTTACGCGGTAAAATCTGCACTTCCGGTCACTGCTCTGGCAGTGTCTAACGATAGTTTGGAGCTCCAGACAGCGCCCTTGTGGCCTATAGATCGTCGAGAACATGCGATATGAATCAATTTGTCGCGTCTTTTGTATATTGTGAGACACTAACCCATGAATGTGCCTATCCAGTCTCCAGTCCAGTCTCGAAGCATTGGTTTACCATCCTTGCAGCTAGATATGAGCAAATACGAGCCGTCATCTTGCAGAGGCGAAAACGAGAGGTGTGTCACTGGCCGTGTATGGCCACTGTTAGAAAAGTCGAGGGGAGGATGTTTTATCAGCGCTCAGCCTTTGACACGAGAACCCAGATCGGAACCACGAACCTTGCGACAAGAGGAACCGCGCGATTAGTAGAGGCCATGTAAAGTTGGTGTAATGAGGTACCGGATTTTGGTTTTGTCAATTATAGAGGCGAGGGTTTGGATTTGGAAAAGGGATGTTCGTGAATAGGATAGAGAAGATGCGTGCGCGGGTTAGTGTCGTTTACAATTGTCGTTAAAGGTTGAGGAGGTTATGCGATGGAGAGGGGAGGCTTGACGTGACAAAAGGTGTTACTGCTAGCAAAGGAGCTTGAAGGCCCAAGCTCGTGATCTGCACAAACAAACGCCACACGCACCCAACAAGAGACGAGTACCACCACCGTCCATTTGGCCAGATGTACCCTCTACTGGCAAAATACACCACTATTTCGTGGGCGTGATTCTATATGTGCAGTGGAGGCTTGTCGTAGCACAGTCTGCACCCTTCTTTCACGGGACCTTTTCGAGGATAGCACGCGCTTGACACTTTCCTGGTTGTGGCAGTATGCTTCTCGGATACTCTCTCAGTCTGAATAGGACTACTCCGAAGATTCAACGCCCACCCCTTCTTCCCCGTCTGTTATGCACGGCTATTCGCAAGTTCCTGGGCGGAGATGTCACAACGGCCAAGACTAAACCCAGATAGACCAACTGCAGTGTTGACCGTAGTCTACCTGTACGACCCTTGCACGAAATGCGAGTTGAAAAAGAGGACGAGTAGCCGAGAAGTTAGCCTCTCTGGGCTGTCTTTGCCGACGCCACCAGTTTAAACGTCCCTCCTTCATGGTAGTCAATGCAGATGCAAAAGAACGGTTTCTTCTTGTGTATACGCACAGCTCACTCGAACCTCTTTAGGCAATGATCACAAGACTCAGTACAGCGAACTTGGGCCTGCCTCTGGGAATCAGGAATCGAAAAGGAATCTCAGTATAGTTTCGCAAAGTGCAGGTGTTGTATGACGGGTGACAACCCCTCTTCGATCGAGTGGGTTTAGGATTCAGTCCGCCTTGGCGACCAACTCAACTCGAATGTGGACTTGACGACGGCAGTCATCTCGCATTGGAAAACAAAGATTCAGATGTCTTCATCGAGGAAATACCCTCCAAGCCCACTGC